GCGCTTTGCGTTTCACGCCGACCGCTGTTGCTGTTGACCGCACTGTGTTTGACGCAATGCGTGAAGTATTCATGTAGTCTTGTAAGCGCTGATATGTGTTACATGTCGACCGCCGCGCCGAGGGTTTCTCCTGTTCATCTCAAGTACTCGTCATCATTGCTCTCTGCGCTGCGCCGTTCCAGGCCAAATCGCGTGTTTGGTTTCTCTCTTAACTCGACTAATTAAAGGTGCTGTCTCTTGTGTCACCGGAAGATGACAAAATTAGAAATTACTATACTCTCAGGAAATGAAAGATTTTGTCACCTTTTCTCGTTTGTAATTTTTTTCTGAATCCGATTTTTTTTATACCTTTATTTAAAAAAATTGCAAAATTTGCCGCCCCCTAAATTTGCCGCCACCACTAAATTTGAACCAATCAGAAATGGATTCACATTGTCTTGACTCTCAGTATAAAGAGACTCTAATGTGGCTTGGTTCCTTTATCTGTTTAACGCAGTCCATTTAGCGAGAGAAATTTAGCAACGGTCGAATGTTCATAGGAGGTTTTTCCTTGGGACACGGCAGTATTCCGTCCACTTCTCAACGGCTATCATCGTTTTCATTTTCCTGCGACGAAGCTTCGCGCCGTTTCCGCTTCCGGCGGGAGCGCGCTGCTGCCGGGTCGGACCGGAAACGACCCCGAGTCGCCGGAAAACGCCCCGGTTCACCGGAAACGGTGGCAACTACGCGACGGTATATCCGCCCGACGCCATGCCATGCCATTTCTCCCTTCCTTTTCGTTTCTCTTTCCCTCTTTTTCGCGTTTCTATCCGTGCGATAGCTGTGTGCTGTGTGCGGCTGAAATCCAGGCCGAGACTGAAATGATAAATGAGACGTAGGTTTGTGGAATGAGGAGTCTCTTGGATTGCAACTTCTGATCGAATGAAGTTCTCGCTAACCAGAATTCGTGTACACGTAGAAAATTGCCGCGTATGTGCGCTCTTCTTTGATTGGTTCGTTCCTCCGTGGCACACTGAAAGAAAATTCTCGGCGCTTTTACCAAGGTCCGTTGGTACCTAAACCATCTCACTTTTTTACCACTTATTGGTAATTTTACCAAGACAGACTAGTAAGCTTACCTAAAAACCGATATTTTTACTGTGTTTTCAGGTAAGAATACCACTTTTATTGGTAATCAATTCCTGGTAACTTTGCCATTTTATCTCGGTAATTTTACCACAGTCGATAAAAAAAAATTGGCGTTTTTACCAAGGTCCAGTAAAATTACCAAGAAAGTTTAATAATTTTACCGAGAATCTCGGTAAAATTACCAATTCCATAAATGGTAATTTTACCAAGAAAAAACTGGGATCAAATAGAACTCTGAATTCTTAGTAATTTTACCCTTTTCTTAGTAAATACACCGAGATTTTTTTTCAGTGAGGGGCCGGAAGGGTATCTCATCGAGGGGAGTCCAGGAGGGCACAAGAAAATAGTCCATTAAGGGGTTCTGCTTGCGTCTGCGGGACTCCCCTAATTCCAAAGGAGAAATCGGGGAGTTTTCACAGCTCCAAAGGGAGGTTTCGGGGGACCCTCTCGAAATATTTCGAAAATCTGAGTCAACTCGGGAGTGATTTTGAATCTTTCTCATCGAAAAATTGATTCAGTTAAAATTTCCAAGATAAAAGATATAGCACGCACTTACCTAGCAAAACCCTTCACATATCTCGGGGAGGGCCAAGTAGATCTCTGGGGGGGGAGGGGTAGGCCCTACCCCTACCTGCCCCCCTAGGTCCGCTTATCTATGCACAAGCTCCGTTTTTGCACAAAAATTTCATGAGAGAGAGAAATGAATCCTTGAGAAGTGTTAGCACTCCTAGATCTGGCGACCCACATGAGTTTGTACTTTTTGTGCCCCACCCCCCTTGAG